TTTTTTTTTCTGTGTTGGTGTTATGTACTCGATGTTACTCTGAGTGTATATCCATACCGGACAAGCTTGAAAAATATTCCTGGCCACCGTGGCCAAGGAATATTTTTCAAGCTTGCCTGGTGTGGATATACACTCAGAGTAACATCACAAACATTTTATAACACTCTTATAAACTGTCCTCCCATCTTGAAACGCAGGCAGAGAAACCGAAAAAAAAACGTGTTTGGTAGAGTCAAACTGGAAGCGCTCTTCTCACATGCGAAGAAATTATCAGAAAACATTAACAAATGGCGTATAATGTGGTCACTGATGACACAAGCGAGTATAACTTCAAAGACGATATTACACGGAACAACTTTTAACGACAACACAGAACCAATAAAATTTCGTGTAACCTCATTTGCACTGCGAGTTGTCGTTAAAAATTGTCGCGTTGTTGCTAACAATGTGGAAATTGTATAAAGAAGGAAAAATACCTGTATGGTAGACAGAAACGTTTATCAACTTTTTCTACTTCCTCTTTGAACTAGAAAAACAAAGTGAAAACTTTAAGTGAAACACATGAAAAACTGTAAGTTATAATGACGGCATTTTGAAAAGAAAAATTTCCACGGGCAAAAATTTTCCCGAAAATATCATTAAAAGTTAAAAATTTTCAACTTCAAATTTTGTTTCCGACGTAAAATTTGTGTCGGCCAATCACATTTTACAAATTTTTCTTTCCGCGGAAAATTTTCTTCAGTGGAAATGGGCCTTTATTATGAACTGACCTCTTGAAGGCAATCCAGGAATGCCACCATAGCATGATCAAATCTAAAAGTATGAGATGGCAAAGTTTTTGAGATGGAGTATAAAATATTCTGTCAAACATACTATCAAAAAATTTACTCACTTTGTATCCCAGAAAAATCGGAATCCACCTGATGCGTATCTGAAAAGAAAAACGAAATAGATTTTGAAACTTGATACATACATTGAATAAAAACTTTGACATGCTATAGTAGAGTATGAATACTTACAATGGTAATTCTTTAGATTTATCTTCGAGACTTTCCAAGTAAGAATGGTTTCCAAACGGTACTAAACGATATCTATACATAACGATAAAGTCGTGTGAATATTTGGAAATCTGAACTGAAATATACACACTTGTATGTTGCGTTTATATACGGGATTAAAGGGATTATCAAAGAAACTATCTTTGCCATCAAAGTCGTCCACACATACCATCTCCTATTGCAAAAATCAAGCTGGTTAGAAAAATCAAAATGTTCACCTTTTAAATTTAAGATTCATTTTCCGTGCTAATGCATGTAACAGAAGTACTGTCTGCCCCCAAGCAGCATTTATTTCACTCCAGTCAACCTACAAAGTACAAATACGATTAAGCTTTAAGCAGAAAAAATAGAGGTGCATAAACTTAGAAAACCGTATTTCGTTGTTGGCTTCATCACCAATCAAAAGCTCCCAAGCAAGAATTCAGATTGCAAACATACCGGCACACTTGGAAGTCGTCCAAGCCTGAAATTATTAATTGTACCAAAATGCCCTTTGTACCTGAAAAATTGACAAAATAATGTAAATTAATATTTGTGTCATGCTTTATTATTTTACTCTTGTACTCTGTCTAATGCCAGACAATTTTCCTGGCAGTCAATGACCTCTGAAATGGGTTAAATATAATTTTATCACACCTTACCAAATGTTAAATGTACTGTTGAAGACATTCGTTTTCTTGAGTTTATCCAACTGCATTTGTGCATAATGAAGCTGATTGTCTACACTGTAAAATTTTTAAAAACACATTCATTATGATTTGCACAAAACTAATATGTTTCACCTTTCAAAACTAATCATTTTGGTCAAGCCAATGGCAGTTTCGTGCGAAAAAGGAAATATATTTCAACCTTACATGTAATGATATTAGTATTTATTATACTACTGTACAGTACTAGTGTACCAATTTTCCAAACCAAGCACGAAAGGGCATATATATATCTGTTCAGTATCATGAAAATAATTGGGGTGGCCTGTAGATCCAACTGCATATCTCACATACCTCTGTTGTTCTTCTTCAAACTCCAAGAGTTGTTTCTGATATTCATTATATTGTATCCAATATTTCTCCTCTTCCTTGTCCAATCTCTCTGCTTCTTGTTGTTGTTTGGCAATGGACTGTTCTACCTTGCAACGTTCTACCTCAACCTTTTCCAATTCCTGGAAATATGATTAAGTAGGGATGAGGGTGAAGGATAAGGGAGAGGGGAGGTAATGAAATGAGTAGGTGGGAGATGTAGAGTGCATCCATGTACACAGTGTCCTTACAGTACGTTTGAGCGTAGGGGGATGAGGAATTACAGTGAGGGAAATGAGAGGTGAGGGTGGGAAGGGGTGGGGAAGTGTGGAGTATGTGGGGGAATATCAAGAATGAGGAGGTGTATAAGAGGGAGTGGGTGGGGTATAAGACAGGGTGTGGCAAGGTGGAGTGTGGGTAAAATGGGAGGTGGTGAGGGCAAGGGGTGAGTGAGGTGGGGCATGGAATATAAGGGAAAGAGAAAATAAGGGTAAATTGTCATGATTCCAAAATTCCAAGTCAAAATTCCAAACAATCAACACCTGCATCAACTGTGATTCCTCCAATTTCAAATCTTCTAATTCCTTGGTTAACAACTCAGTATCTTCCTCCTTACTGCCGTCTATTTTATCTACAAATTCCTTGCTGTAGTCGTTGAGTTCATCTGTGGTGACTTTCAGTTGATGATCAAGCTGGTCTAGCAGAGTATCTGTGCATTCTTCACACAATGGATGATCAATGTCTGACTGTGCTGACATGATGTCAAATAACTGACTTGTCACCTAACATGGAGAAATTATTATGAGTGTGCATCCACACCGGGCAAGCTGAAAAGTTTGCCTGACCACGGTGTGAATCGAAACCGCAACCTTTCGGACACTATAGTCCAATGCTCTACCAACTGAGCTACAAGGTCAAGTCGGTTCGAGTTGGTGATTCAGCAGCTTGGCATCATAGAGGCCCAAGAGATAGCTAGATAGTACATTACCTTAAGTCTGTGACTAAGGTTGTCTGATCTCACATTTTGGGCATCAATTAATGTAAAACCATTGCCATCCACAGATCTGCAAATAAACAGCGAACACTACCATTTTATAGTAATTGTACTTGTACTGAAATGAATGTTTTTATACAATGTACTTGTATTTAATTAAACGAAAGTTTGACCCAATTGTAAGTCTAGCAACTTGATGTTATGCATTGATCTGTCATACCTTTTAGATGCAATTGTTCTTTTAACAACATCATCATTGACCTCTGGTATATTGGCCTGCAGGTAGAGTTGAATACTTGGGTAAATTTTAGATCATAGCATTGTGTCTAGAGCTGTGCGGTTCCAAAAATTTTATCTCGGTTCCGGGTTTTTTGGAACAAAAAAACCTCGGTTCGGTTTCGGTTATTTTCAAAAAAGAAGAACAGTACAAATGCATATGAACTCATTTATGTATGTAAGTATGTTTCGAGCATTTTTACTAAATAGATGAATTTATGCCTTTGTAAGTTTGTATAAATCTCTGAATATTTTAAAAGAACAAATGGAATATATTTTTGAAGATGTAATATTTCTTAGTTTTTAAAAAAATTTAAAGCAAGTTCACAACAATAACTATCACAACTAACATATCAATCAACTTTCAAATAAAAATTTCACAACTGAAACAACATCATATTTCAGGCCTATGATTTTGACTAACTTTGCAATGTTGTCATCTAGCCAGTGCACTTACGAGAGGCATTCAACCCCTGAAAACATTAAAAATGGGCAGATGTTCAGGGGGGTGAATGCCTCTTGTACCAGCTAAAAAAATGGCGAGCACATTTAGATGGCAAACTATTGTGAATATAGGGTGTGGCAGCATTATAGGTTTTTGGCCGACTCAAGCATATCTGTTCAGTGAAGTCTGTGCCCAAATGTTCATGTGCATGGTTATAAAAGGCAAAGGGTCAAATCCTTTTGAGAATGGTCGTTTGATAACACAGACATAGTGACTACCTCATGATCAGAATCTTTCTCCTTCGCAGTTGATTTTTCATTGGGAACAACTGGCAAGCTTGGAAGTGGGACTATAAATTAAAAAGATGCAAGTTTATTGACTGTACTTTTTTATATTGAAGCAATAAAATTGTGTATAAATAAGCTTAAAATGTACAATACAATATTTATAAACTTAAGTACAGTGCAGATATTGGTACAAAACATGCAAGAAAGCTTTCAATAACCGTTTTGTACTTACGAGTTAGCTCTGACAGAGTTTCATCATCAATTGAGCTAAATGAGCTTTGATCTAGGCGCAAAGGTTGCGAGCATTTTTGACATACAAAACTCACTCTCGTTGTACCACGAGAGCCACTAATCATTTTCAGAGATTGCCTGCTTCTTGTTCTAGTTGTTTCATGCTTCTATTCTTATTTAAATGTCGATATTTGCTTCGAATATCAAATAAATGAACTCCTTTTGGCAACCATTTTGGTTAAATTTCGTTCGCGAAAACAAGTGTACCCCCGGCTTTATCTAGTATAGGTCAGTATTTTGAATATGCACGGCAGAACATAACGGAGGGGGGGGGAGATTTTTAAAAACTAGAAATAAATATAACATATTTTTTTATTTAAAAAAAATATTCAGGGTGCATCCCCTCCGGTTTTTACTACTATCTGGGCACAGAATAAAGATCAGTGTGCCTTATTCTGTGATCTGGGTGAACATACCGGGGGGGAGGTTGGTGAAATTAGGTATAAAATTGCGGCGAATGGCGGTAAATTTGCAAATGAAAATAATCGAAAATAAAAGACATAACAAGTGTATTTCTTTACCAAAAATCTCTTGAAACAAAGAATTGGATAAATGTCTAAACGACAGACATGCGTTGTGTTATCACTGGAGAATCTGTGAGGCTTTTTGCGAGAGCAATTCATTGCCTTGCAAAGATTGGCCATGAAATTTATGTCGAACCATTGAAGAAAGGGCTATCACTAAGAACGGTAAATTCTACAAGATCAGCTTATGGATGTTTTATATTTATGACAAGTTTCTTTCAAACTTATGATGATGGTATTTCTGATGACGACAATTCTTCTAACGACGGACTTAAATGTAAACTTTCGGTGAAATCATGTCTGACTGTGTTTAAATCTCTCAGCACTATTGACAGAATGGTTGATCGATGTTCAATCAGAATGAACGGGCAAGAAGAGGAATTAACATTCCTCCTTTACTGTCACCATGGTATTACGAAAACCTATAACTTGTCATACCAAGATTGCGAAAGCTTGCAAGCAGTCTTTACCAAAGATTTCTCGCCAAATTTGATCAACGTCCAACCCCGAATACTTGGTGAGGTTGTGACGAATTTCCAAAACGCGCAAGAAGAAATCTCGTTAACAGTTTGTCCGCAAAATATGGTAGTCACTAATTATGTTGACGAGGACGAGGACCCTGCAAAGGTGATTAACACGAAGATGGTCTTGGTTGCCGAAGAATTTGAAAAATTTCAAATTGGAGTCGATACCGAAATAACATTCTGTTTAAAAGAACTAAAGGGAATCATAATGTTTGCAGACTCTACCGACCACAACTTGGATATTCATTTTGAATCTGCGGGGAAACCGATCGTATTTAGTTTGGCAAGTGATCCAACTTTTGAAGCCAATTTTGTCCTCGCAACTTTGATTGATCTACCTGGAACACAAATGTCTGAACAGACAAACAGACAGAATGGATCACAGAAAGTGAGCGACCCCAAGGAAAGTGCAAGTCCGTCACATTCTCAACACATGCTCGACAACGAGTTTGATTTAGATGCAGAGGAAGACTGGGCCAATGACATCATTGCTGCAGAAGAACAGAGTGTCCAACAAACATCAAGGAGAAATAGTGGAGATAAACATCCTGGCTTTGATGATTTTTTTCCATTTCAAGATGGAAAAAAAGCAAGCACGTCTTCTCAAAGAAGGAAGTCAAATGAAGAGCATGCGATCTCTGTGAAGAACATACGATCACCACCACACAGTGTGCCAAGCGATTTAGCATGTGCTGAAATGCCAGGCAGTATGAGTGTTGATTCAGAGAAGTCACCGGGTAATAGCAATAAAAGCTTATTACATGAGGGCAATACATGGGTGGATTTATACTGGGCTAAGTTTCATTCCTCCCAGGTTACAATAAAACAATGTACACTCCAGAGGACTTGGTTACCTCAGGACCCTTATTGATAATAGATACTTTTGCATCTGAAAGGGCTACACTGAATTTTATATAAGTTTCATTCATTCAATATTTTTAAATGTTTTTAGGTATAGCAGTACGATCTGGCAAAAATAAAACTGTACGACAAAAACCCAGAGGGAAAAAACACGAAGGCAAAGTTTTGGTTGATGACGAACAAACACAAGACAGTATTCCTAGTACACCACCAAGTAAAAAGTTTAAGTCTATGTTCTTCAGTGCAATGTCAGGCAGGAAGAACAATACAACTGTCGAGAAACAGTCTAATGCAACCGTAGTTCTAGTTGAAGACTCTGATGTGGAATCTGATTAACATTTGATTTCACTTCCACTGACAGTTTTATCCCACTCAGCAGTAACTGGTGGTCAACTTGCAGATATCAGAGTGAAAAACAATTTCCTTTCCACTTTTTCATAGTATGGTCTTGTATTTGGTGGCAAATAAAAGATGTACGAAGGAGAGTAAACGCTTCAGAATTTGACCACCATTTGCCGTCCTGGTTGTTGAAAATCCACCAATGAAATGATAGCAGAAACTACTTTCTAGGTTTTCTCTGCATGCTTTGGTTTTAATATAGTATTTCTATATATGCATATATCTAGCCTTATATCACACTTGCGTCGGTTTTCTTTGTTCGTCCAAGGTTTATAACTAGCTTATATACCTTGAATAAATGATTGGATTAAACTTGTAGACAAAACACGAGAATTTTTCATTAAAAATTTTTGAAAATGACAAAATATGTTGGAAAACCTCCGCAAGTGTGATGTAAGTTAGTTATAAACCGAATAAGTCGGTTTATAACTGATATATTGCCCCTCGGACGCTACGCTTCCTCGGGTCAATATATCAGTTATAAACCTCCTACTCGGTTTATAACTCTTACTTATGCCAGCCATGTTTAAATGCTTTATGGTTTATGGAATGCAATAAAAATCATACACCCTAAGTTTACTTGGTGTAGTATATTTCTTGTTACATGAACACCACCAGTACATGAACTGGTCGTTTGATGTAAATAGTTAGACCCCATTGCCACTCAAATTCATGTTTTCAGTCTGAAAATTCTGTCTGAAAATTTCAGAAGAAATTGTAAGTTCCCTTGGACATACCATGGATAATAAAATAAATTTATTTTATTATCCATGGACATACTAATACACTTACCAGTATGAAACAAATTTTTCTTCCCTTCCCCTCTGGAAGGCAGAAAATTCCTCTGGGGAGAGGGTGGATCTTTTCTGGAATGACCCATTAATTAAAGTATTTTGCTGGACAGTTGACTACCCTGCACCGACTGTTTTGCTTGAAAGCTCATGTAAGTGGAGTTGTGGTTGCTTCATTTGGGCATTTTTCTCTCACCAAAAAACTAACCCATCCCAACATGGCTGTGCTCCCTAATCAAACATGGGTAGTATGGTGGTAGCAGAGACCTGATGATACCCTTAGGCTAGCAAACCCCCAACTTGGTCAAGTTTGTGCTGCATCCATCGCATTTGACGAGCGCCTTACCAATAGTATAAAATAAATGCTTACATTGATTTCAAAAGTATTTATATATAATACAATTACAAAACACATCATATAACATATTCAATACAATATCAATTAACTGCGCACGTCTTCTTCTATTTCGCTTCTTTTTTACTTGCTTCCTCTTTCTTACTACTAGATTTATCTTTCCCATCCTCTTTGGTATCCTTGTCCTTATCCTTTTCTTTAATTTTATCTTCCTTTTTCCCTCCTTCCTCCCTTTCCGCATCTCGATTTGCGACTTTATTATTTATCAGATTATGTAGGGCGATTATCACACGAACTATGGAAGCTGTGTAGATGACCAACATTTGATCATTGGTTTTCACCGATGTCGCTTTTACAAACTCGGCAACGTTTAGATCGGGTAGTAGGTTAAAGACGTCTTGTAAGTGGTAGATTATGGTGTGGTTGACAGGTAGCTTGCCCATGGCTACTTTTTCCAAATAATTTCTGATGTCTTGAAGGTGCTTGTTCAGACCTTTCAGTGACATAAGTTGACTTGTTATACGCTGTGATAATGTACCTGCTGTTAGATTTCTTATATCCCTAAAAATGGAATTGAAATGCACTTGAATGAAAATTTGATTTTAGATTAGTATTTAGAGATTTGTGTTATTCTCATATTTACTGGGGTACTAGTTTTACAGTATGTCACCCATTAGTTTGATCCATTTAATGCCAGTGCTCTCCCAATATAAAACAAGCTTTAAATCCACGGCAATAGGGTTTTCAATAGGGCAAATTTTTAAAATTTTTCACATACCGTAGCAAGTGTTCAACACCCACTTCCTCTGCTTCTTCAGCACCAATTTCGCTAGGAACATGTTCAAATGTTTTACTGGTTGGGGATCCATCCTAAAAACAATTCACAATAGCATCTGTATGTAAACCTGACAAAATGCTAAAAAAGGTACAACTAACAAACGCCCCTTTAAAACTCCTGAAATTTCAAGTCAGCAACAACTTGCCGACCTAAAAACGATAATTCTCAATCTAGGTCAGACAATTTTTTAGTCTTGTAAATGAATATGACACTCACAGAAGCGTATTCTGAGAAGTTGCATAATCACACTTTGAATGGTCAAAACATGATAAAACATCATTCTTGAAAATGCGTATGTATGTGTGAAAAGTGTGTTCGGTCGTAGGTCAGAAAGGTCTTGCCAACCTAAATCTACAATTTATCGCTTTGCACATCAGCAGTTAGATCGGCATTGCCAAGGGCTGAACACAATTGTGTAAAGTCATAAAAAGACTACGGTTTATCATCAAGTAAATAATACTGACATCATGGACTTCTTCGACAGCAACATAAGCTTCAGTTGGTAAACCAAGATCTCTTGGTTTCGCATCAATTATAACTAACACCTGCAGAACAAGAAATCTATCATCACATACAGTGTTTTAATCATGTAACTTGTATGTCAATTCAGCAACTTACCGGTACCGAATTATGAGAGGATTTTTGCACTAATTCATTGACTAGTTCATTGACTTTTATATCGTTTTGGTGTAATTTTGGTCCGGTGTGATACCATCCAACAATTTTTTCACGCGCTAGACAAATAAATTCAACATATAAGCATAGCTGTAGTATTTGGCAAGTATTAGCAAGCAAATAATTTACAAACCATTGACTTTTTTGAACATGGTGTACATATTTTCCAAGTAGTCACGATCTAAATACCAGACATCCATATCGCGATCATCTTCATCAAACGGGACTGAAAAGAACAACAACTGATCAAACACTGAATATTACCATTTGCATTCAAAATCAGAATGGGTCATTCCAGAAAATATCTATACCACCCCCACAGAGGAAATAGGACGTTAACCCCCCTACCCCCTTTGGATGTCCTAATACATTTACTATTATCAGAAACAATTTTTTCTCCCCTCCCCCTCCGGACAGCAGAAATTTCCTTCGTGGGGGGAGTGCGGATTTTTTCTGGAACGACCCAATTTCCTTCAAATTTCCACTAAAGAATTTTCCTACAGTATCTAATTTAAAACATGAAAAAACCAGTATATTGATATCAGTATAATTTTTCCGGTATACCAATACTGGAAAATTGTCATACCGAATATTCCTAGTGTTGAGTCAAGACAAAGAACAAGCCAAAATTATAAATTCCTCTTAGTTAGTATTTTTGTTTCATTATATATAATAATAAATATTTGTTATTGGTTAAGCCCAATGTCTCAATCACGAAAACGAGACTCCCAGTGTGGAAAGTTTGTATCGTGCAACCGAAATATCAGGCACGCAATTCGGTTGCACAATTTCCAAACTTTCCAGTCAGGCAAGGCTCTATGGCCAAGAAGACCCACAACCTAATTTCAGGAAGCATGTATTAGTGATAACTGCACCCCTCTCTCATCCGCAGAGGCTTTTAATTAAAGAATATGAAATTCAAAGGAATTGAAATTGCGCTAGAAGGTATCTGGTATGAAGAAGGGGAAGGGATCGCCCGCACACTGATTTTCAGCAGTTGTCTTCATACCAGATACCTTCTAGCGCAATTTCAATTCCTTCGAATTTCATATTCTTTAAAAGCCTCTGTGGAGGCAGGTTTTTTTTCAGGATTTTCACTTGGGTCCGTTTTTGCAGAGAAGATTGAGTTTAACTGAACAGCTGGGGTGGTTGCACCCCCCGCTCCCTACCAGGGGGCTGACACTTGTGCTCAATAAATGTAGTTGAGATGGAATGTGTTAAAACAGGGGCACTGAGGGACACCATAAACTGGTTAAAGATGGCAAATGCATAGTTTTTCTTGTGTTGTGAGATGAATTCCAGCCATTTTTTCTTAATTGTCGGGTTTCCAACTGAAAACTAATTTCCACACGTCACAAATTTAACTCAAACAACTTCATTTTTACTGCACTGAAACTTTGGTGAGAAGATTGAGTTTCAAAACTCAATTCAAGATTGAGTTTTTGGGGCCGTTTAATGGCCCTAAAAAATCCCTGAAAAAAAGCCTGGGAGGAGAGTCACTAGCATGTATTTAGGGTTCAATTCACATTCCTATATATATTTGTAAGGGACCACGTCCATATTTATGTTGCCACAAATGATGTCGAATCGACATTATGAGTGAGAGGGTGGGTTTTTATGTGAACTTATCAATGTTATCTTGTGGCAATTCGACAATTAATGTCCAAAGTAACTATCACAGTACAGATTTTGTATCATAAATACGAAAGTCAAAATACGACGGAATATTGATTGACGTTATCTGGAGTGGGTGGGTGAAGAAATAACGTCAATTCGACGTTATTTGTGGAATAACGTTGATTCGACATTATTTGTGGCAACATGAATATGGACGTGATCTCTAAACATGTTCTGGCACACAGTGTACGGCTGTACGCTTTTGACCAGGGGTTTATTTTCCTTTTTTCACAGTATGTACGTACAAGGAAAATAAATTTCTGTCAACAGCATACGCCATTACTTGTTGTATCCCATGTGCAAATTTAAAATCATAACGCATCCACCATTACCAGCAAAACTATTGGAGACATCCAGTATCCCTTTACGATTTGCCCCAAGCAAGACACCCACCACTCTCCGTTGACTTCCTGCCGTACTCACACGATTAAAATGATCTACGACGCTAAGCAGAACTAAAGGATGAACAACCACTTTCGATATGCCTTCTGTTGGCGATGGCATGGCGAAAAACGTCGAAAAACTCTGTATTTTTTACCCAATTTCTTTTCAAGATAAAATTTTTTTGTCTATTAAATTTTTGAAACATGTGAGTCGCTCTTGCGCATGCCCGTAGTTGTCAAAGCTTCCACTTATAAAGCTGTCATTCGAAATTTAGAATGTTTGTCATTTTGCCAAAAAATAATGATTAAATTTGCTATAAATTTGCCTAAATAATGGCCAAATTGGACCGTTTTGCAGCAACTGAACAGCACTTGTTCTGGTTTTAGTTTCTAGGGGAAAAACACATCACATCATGCTAGATTATGAAATTAGCTAGTTATATAATTATTACCTAGGGACCTTAAACAAAAGCCTTTTGGTTTCTAGAAGGTTCCTAGCCCTAATTTTGTAAATATTTAATTCTACTTCTTATTGTTATGTAATTGGGCGAAAATTTAAAAAAAAAGAAAAAAAAAAAAAGAATAGCATTTTACACATTTCTAAATTCTAATATAAATAATTTTCAGATTTCCTACTAGCAACTGCAAAAGATAAATTCCGTAGCAAAAAATAAATTCCGTAGCAAGCACACTACAATGAGATTGAACAATTATGTAAATATCTTCAGAATGACTCGACCAGATATATAGTTTCTGCAATTCAAAATTAAAGATAGATTTGAAGGATGAACGAGTAAATTATTTAATAATGGAAACACCATTTAAAAAGGAAATTATTATTCCCACTGATCTATATACAGTTAAAGCTCGAAGCTTCCCAAATGTAAACATCTTTGATCATTCTGTTTTTGCTGTAAATTTCTAATCTGCTCGATTTGAAAACAATTGTATGTGAAGAATAGCAAACTGGTTTCATCTCCATTGCACAGCCATGGGTAATAAGGTCGATACAATGGCGGCACATATTGAAACAGCCAAGAAAACACGGGTCTTGAATTGCTCTGGTCGAAAATTGAAAGAGGTGTGGATCAACGATTCACTTGCAGTCGTTTTTGTAATATACTGTTTGTGCAAGAGTGTCTCGATTAATAATATTCTTGAAATATTATCAAGTCGACAAGTTCAGAAGTATATTGTGTAGGATGTATAAATTAAATGTGTATTTTCAGTATATAGGTATATAAATGTATTTAGAATGTTTTGTTATGACGTCATAGCCGTTGTCCGATAATTACGTCACAAATCCTTCCTTGACCCGGAAAGCCTCGTTCTCATGAGTTATGAGAAAATAGCATTTCATCTCGTTGGTTCATATGAACAAGGCTCCCAGGCAAAGGAGCGACCGAAATACAGGGTACGATAATTTGCATACTTTCCACTTCTAATATGACAGTCTGGTACTAACATGTGCACAAGTTGGCTTGTAGCAATGCCATTCCAACAACTTGTCAACAGGATGTGTTCATACTGCTTGTTCCCAGTTTATTGACAACTTGCTACAAGGTTGTTGAGCTCAACAGACTTGTTCCAACAATTTGTTATCATCCTGTAATTCAACAATTTGTCAACAAGTTGTGAGTGACAACCTTGCAGCAACTTGATAAAATAACAGCATTGTTACAACTTGTTGACAAGCTTGCGACAAGTCTGTTGCAAACACATCTTGTTGACAAGTTGTGAGGTTTTATGTGTATAAAATACATTTTGACAGTTCTCATCAAACTAACTCAATTAAATACCTTAGATACCATCAGCTGTGATGAGCCTCGCTCCCACTGTGAGAACAATGGATCTATCAAAAAATCAATTAACTGCAATTCCTGTGGCACTGGGAAATTTTACTGAATTGAAACAGCTAAATGCTGAACATAATGAAATTGGTAGGTTATGTGTTCAACAAGCCATCATCCATTCTTTTCAATCATTAAAATGGAATGAATCACAATTAGTGAAGATTCAAGGGGGATACCAGCAATAACCCCCCCCCCCCCAGTTGTACCATTTGTGATGAAAGTACCCCTCTCCAAAATCTATTTTTCGGATCAATCCATTATTAGATCCGTAATGAGCTCCTTTTTTCATTTCTTGTCTTGTAGGTAACCTACCAAACGAACTAACAGGAATGAAAAAACTAGAAAATTTACAACTGGGCTACAATCGTATCCAAGAAATCCCATCATCATATTCAAAATTCAAGAACTTAAAATCTATTTATATACAAAATAACAAACTGACGATTTTTCCAATATGTCTCTGTGAGCTTAGACATCTTGATGTTATTGACCTTTCTGAGAATAAAATTCAAGAACTGCCCGAAAATAGTGAAAAGCTACAATGTATTGAACTTAATATGAACATGAACCAGTTAAAAGGTATTCCTGCGTCTCTAAGTTTGTGCCCAAGGCTTAAAGTTTTACGTGCGGAAGAGAATTTGCTGGAACTGGCATCTATAACAAGTGAATTTTTAAAGAATTCTCAAGTTTGTGTGTTGGCAGTTGATGGAAATTTGTTTCAAATGAAAGATCTCTCTGATAAAGATGGCTATGACAAGGTGTGTTCAGAAAAACAAAAGCAAACCAATTTACAATTCATCTAATGAGATCGTGCCCCCATCAATAAAGCCTTTTGACGCCGACAACAAATTAAATTTTTAACTAAATGATTTTATTTTTTATTCAATTTTCTAGTACATGGAAAGATACACCGCAAGCAAAAAGAAATTCTTTTAGGATCTCAATAATAATTTACGATAACGCCCATTCATGGCTAGTTCCAAGACCCTAAGGCCAAATAAAAAAAAAATACTTGGTTTTTCCACCATATCGGTGATATTTTTTGTACTGATGTTGCGAAGGCCGCCATTTTGCTTTAAGAACCTTGTATACCCAAGCCTACTTTCAAATTTCAAATATTAAACTGTTTTAAGCTGTAAAACGAAGAGATTTACATAAAAAAAAATTTAAAAAAATTCAGAGGCGGCAGAAAATCGAGAGGCGGGCGGCAGGGGCGGATCTAGGATTTTTCGCACGTTAGTCAAAATTTTATGACGTCATCGATGACGCAAAACGTGATGACGTCATTTGACATGACGTCATTTGATGTCAGGATGGTAGTCCAATTTTTGTGGAAGTATAGATATTTTGTTTTATCAAACTACAAATGCGTAAATGACATAATTTTCGTACCTGCCAATGTTCAGCATATAGACTGTTTCGCCCTACAGTGTATACCTTGGCTCATCAGCATGCCTAGGAAACACGTTTACCAAACATAGTAAACCATGATCCAACAAGGCAA